TATTGATTTAAGAAACGTTAAACGGGCTGAAGCCCAGAGGGAGTACAAGTTCCCTTGTGCTGTTGCTCTCAGAAGGGTGATCTCGCCTTTCATCCCTCTGCCCCGTTCAGTAAAGAGACGTGGGACACGAGTGCCTGGAGCCAGGCTCTTTCTCTCAGCCAGATGATCAGGGTCATCCTCAAGGAGACGCAGCCTGCCCCCTCTTTCAGCCAAGTACAGTCGTCACTCTTGAGTCACGCTGGGACATTGCTTTGCTTCCATTCCCATTTAAATTTTTTGATGACTACAGTATATCATTTAATGGGTTAGGCTAAAAGCAGAGGATGTCATGATTAAATCCGATAAGATTGACCCTGTGACCTTTTCATTGATATTGTGCACTGATCTTCCATTTTCTGGGGTTTTCAGCGATTTTATTGCATCAGGCATTGTTACACACATAGGAAAAAGGAAAACATACCCATGTTTTCCATGTTTCTTAATTACTGTAAGTACACAGTATGGGGAGTTATGAAGACACTGTCTTTAACCTTTTACCTTTCATGCAACTTAAAGGGCTATTTAGCTTATGAGGTTGAACAACAGTTCTCAGTGGTAATGAGCCTGTTCCTGAAGTCACCTACTTGTCGCTGGTTCGCTGTGCTAGCTCTGAGCCTGCAAGTGACTGTGATTAAGGCCTGAAGCAGAGCTCCAGTTATCCCAGTTACAGATATTCATTAGTAGCTCAGTGAGCCTGAAATCCTCCGATTACTAATGCAATATTTTACCGTTACCAAATGGGACCAATACTGTCATCAGCAGCTCATTATTAGTCCCATATGTGCATATGTACAAGACTATATATAGCATTGCTAGTCCTGTTTGTGCATCGGTACAAGCTGTAGCATCGCTAACCGCTCTCCAAAGTCAAAAAGAGTCTTAAGACTCTTTCCCACCTTCTCTTGAAATAGAATCTCAGAGGCTTAACAAACTTTGGATAAGTCTCTAGGCTTGCCAGAGCCATGTGGATGATTGATGGATATCTCTCACCCTGACACGACAGAAATCGAGAAGTAACAATATTATAGATAACAATAATATAGACATCTGTTTCCTAATCACTGCCATTCTTGTGTTTAAAACTACATCTTCTCCATCTGGCCAATTTCACCCAATTAAAGAATTAAGGAGCACAGTGCTGAATATATATCAAAACTGTGTTTCCTCTGCCACAGCAGAATGGTTCCCTCTTGCCTCAGTGCACTACAACAGAGACTCCAGTTATCTTCGCTGATCTAAAATATTTATTTTTCTAGAGGAGTTCAAGGGAAGATTCACAATTTTCAGCAAGTTGCTGTCTGGATGAAAGTAACTGACATGCATACTTGGGCGCTAGATATTTGCAGAATAAACAGCGTTTGTGATGTTTAATCATGATACTCTCAGTTTCACGCAATTCAGAAACTCAACTGTCTTTAAGTGAATCCCCTTCAGTTGTCATTATTTAAAAGCTGCAATTTTAATATCTACTGTAGAGTAACTCCCAGATGTAGTTTGCACTGACACTCAGATACTTCCTGAACAGCTGCTCTGGGTCTGATCTGTGACTTGAGGAAGCAATATTACTAAATCACAAGACGGAAACGAAATATCACCAGTCGACCATCCTCAAACACTAAACAAGATGGCTTTGCGATTTCTTTTCTAGAAAAGGAGGAATTTTTCTATTTTGTAAAATAAAAGCAAACCAGTAAAGAGCTTCAACTGAACTTTGGTTTTGCATAACACGGGAGGCTTTAGGCTAGTGAACCACAGATTGATGTAATCCTGCTGTGTTACTTCTAGGTCCGATTGAAAGGCAGCATTATGGGGGAAAAAACAAATTACGGTTTAGCTTGTAAACCAGACTCGAAAATCAACTTGGTAGCAGGCCAGGATATCCCTCAGCAGTAACTGGTCCAACTCTAAGTGGCCTGTGCACTGTGTGCTATGGATTAATTGCAGGAAATTAGCATCCACACAAAAGACAAACATCAAAGCATTGCATATGCAATGCCTAAAGAAAAGTACCCAGTTTGAGCAGCACAAGGGTCAAGATTACTGCTGCTGTCTGGAAATGCAATGTGGGTAGTTTTAAACCATTCAGGTGGAATAAAGCTAACGTCTTTCTCTGTATGGGCTTGGCCGGTAGATGATAAGGTCAACAGGTATACGTTTTTAATGAGCATCCTGTCTGAAAGTTCACAGTTGTGTGCCACAGTAAATACAAGAAAAATGTAGCAAACCACTATGCAATCCCAGAGAAACAAGTAGAGCAAAGCATGATGGGTCCAGACCATAGAGTCTGGACAGATAATCTGATCTAGGCAGTGTCTGGGTGCTTTCCACTTCTTAATGATAGACCACCATTCACACTCTTCTCCTGTACCTTTTATACTTTATCCCTGAGTTGTTTTGATAGCTTCTAGTTCTTCATGGTCGAATCCTTGCTTGAAATTCACTGTGCGATACTTTACTGAGATGGGTGTGTCCAATCTGAAATAATGTGAACCACTGTCAGTGCATACAGACGGAGGCCAGTCGACTTATTGTCTGGCTCGTTAAGGTGATGTTGTGCACTTAAATTAATTGAAGTTTGCCACAGCAAAGAGTTGGAATACTTATGCCCTAGCAACTTTCCTATTTTTATTTCATATTAATGATCTGTTTCCTTCTTTTTTTGTGTAAAATGTGTGGAGTGGGTTGTGTGTATGACAAGTATTAACTGTAAGTTCAAAGTGTTATGACTGCAAGCTTTAAAGCAATAAATTGTGAAAACTGCAAAGGGCACTGTAAGTAGGGCATACCAATGCAAAACCATGTTAAACCAGCAATAGTTCTGTGCTATTAGCTTTGTTGAACTTGTAATAAGCAATGAGAGGCTTCTTTACAATTTCAGGAAGCCACAACCAGCTCAGACAATACGGGGCCTTATCAGTTCTTGGCTCCTAAGGGCATGTGAATAGAAACGTCAAGACAAGAATCTTTTTATCTCCGAACGGGGAGAGAGCTGGGAGCTGAAACTGCTGTCTGCTGTTCAGCATAATTTTTTATAACATTTCCCAGCCCTTTGAAGTTTTTTTTTTTCTGGTATGGAACCGCTAACCTGATTTAAAGCCATATTTCACACAATTGACAGAATCCTCTGGGCCCGAGTGTTATAATAGTCACTAAAGGGCTAAGCTGTAACTGACAGCACTTCTCGACAAACATCTTGTTTACTCACATCTTACTGCTCTCCTTGCCCTGAGGTTATAGCATCTACACTCTCTTTGTGAACCCATACCAGGATTGACATTCCTTCATCTGCTTATTATTATTAACTTAAATTCATGAAACGGCCTGTGACGCAACCACAAGGGTTTCTAATTTAAGGACTTAGCGCATTATGTCTCACCTTGCTTAAAAGGCACACATGAACTACAAGCCGATTCACATGTTCAGAATCCTCCCCAGGCATGACAAACTGATCTCGGAGAAACACAAACCAGAGGACATAGTAGCAACTACAGGAAAAGCATTTTAAAAAACAGGACACACTTTTTCTTTGCACAAAGTGTTGTGGGTGTCTGGAACAAGCTCCCCAGCCATTTTAGCATAGGGAACATGCTGGGTTCTTTCGAGCTCTAACTGAGCCAGGGGGATCTAATGGTCTCCTCTTGCTGGTAACATTTCTTGTGTTAGGGAAATGCCACAATTCATATTCTGCCACAAAGTAAAGTCCTGAATTCTGTTCAGTGAGGCAACAGGTTAATGGGGGAATACTAAAAGTAGGAATGCAAACATACATAAACACATTGCTAACGAAGAGCAGATATACTGTACGTACACAGTAAAAAGTGATGCAAAAATGTGAAGAGTTTGTATCTTTGAACATATATAAAGAGAGAAACCTTGTAGTTTGGGCTAATCCACTCTTGCAGGGTGGCATGTGCTGATCTATACAGTAAGCTAGAGCAATCACCTTCATACTGGCTCTCCTGAATACAGGCTGCATTCGTGAAACAGGTCTCACCTGTGTTACTTCTAATCAGAAATGTGAATACATCCCAGGGCGTCTGCGAGTGAGAGACACTCTTAAAAGTACAGTCCTATAATCTGCTGGGTGTTGTTACACATTCAATTCCAGGACTCTTTTGGAACTGCTGGGATGATTGAGTCTTGTGGTGCAATGCCTCCCCATTTACAGATTTCCAGCACTACACAATTAAAAAGTGCACATTTATTCATTGGTTTATGGAATGTCATTAATATTGTATTTAATTGATTTCAAGAAATACGGGACCATGTGAAGGCTACAGTACGTAGAAGAACTGCTGGGTAGAATTAAAAGGAGACTTTCAAAGAGCTGTGGCTCTTTCTAAATAATGTAGCTTAAGACGTCTATATGTCCTCTGAAAATTTAACAAGGTAAAAACAACGAAATATCTTACAGATAATATAATATCCAGATGAAATAATATTCCTTTTGAAAAAGTGTATAATACCATGCAATAAAAATTGACTGATTGTTCTGATTGATTGACACATTGTTTTCTCCTAGAGACTGGAACTTCTGTCTTAATAAAACATTAAATTCACAAGTAACAAGCGTGACAAATGCACAAATTCTTTATATGTTATGTGTTATGTGGCAAAAAAACAAGAAAGGAAAAAGGCACTGGCCTCTCACCAGAAGTATCAGAAGACATAATGTTCTCCAAATTCATTTTGAGACATGTTCTGTCATGCATCTGGTTGCTTTTATTTTTAAAGTTGATTTTAAAATTATTTTGCCAGAGGACTCATATTGGTAACTGGCATGTGAATCAAACAGCTCCATGTTGTGGGTAAGGGATGTATTGACCACACCCTTAGGAACTACATGTCTGAGGTTGTGCCATCGCTGAAAAACATGAGCCTAATTCTCTACTCCCTGTACTCCTGTTGAACTGCTGAAAAAAGACATTGAGGTTGTGGAGAGGATCTACTGGGAAATTGCATGTGCTTTTGGTTTATTTTAATAACACTTTCAAGTTTTCAAGATTTCTCTTTGTATACAAGTCCATCGCAGAAACTTTTGTTTTATTTCTCTAAACAGGCAGCAGGCCAAAATAAATGATGTGATTTCCACTGCTGATGTGATCTGTCAAATGGAGGGAAATTGGTAGTGCTCTAAGCAAAAAGGTTAGAGAAGAACACATCGGTGTTATATTTGTGAGCCACAGGGCCCAACATGTACAGTCACTTGCTTTGGGGCAACCTTATTGTGGAAGGCGCTTTATAAAAATGAATTGAATGAGTCTTGTTCAAGACACTCACTGTCCACATGGAGTGTTCTTCACACCTTTCCAGAGACTCACACCTCCCCCCCACTGTGATCGAACAATTTTCCACCCGGCTGAGAAACACCAAGGGTCCCAACAGTCCATCTGAGGACAAATCGAACAATGTATTTTTTTTTACCCCCAAATGGCCTTAAAATCGGCCTAAAAAAATAACACAATGGGCGATTTTACTGGCTAAAAAATATGATTTAAAAAAAAACCCGTTAACAAAGGAAAATGAACCCTCTCTTAAAGCTATAGACACTGGATTGTTTTGGACTTCACTTGTTTTCCCTGTACGTGCTCAGTGAGGGTTTCTTTGGTGGTTTTAGTTCAACCCACCTCTGTGGTCAGCCAGGAGAGAGGCCTGTTTTCCTCAGAAGCAGAAAGGATGCTTGGTTTCCCTTCCTGCCTTTGTATCTCCAGCCAGTGATGCTGGACGTTCTACCCTGTTTGCACCATTGATTGCTCCCTGGCTCCTGGGGGGGGCAGGCAGGGGGGGGCCGGCTGGCTCAGGGGTGTCCGGTGTCCGGTGTCTCCTCACACCGCGGTGGACTGCTTGATGCTGTGGAAGCTGACCCGCGTGGGCGAGGTGGGAATGGACATGGCCCGCGCCACCCGGGCTCGGATGGAATGCTTGTCCTGCCAGCGGTGCCAGCGCTTCCTCACCGCCGAGCGCACCTGCGGGACACGGGCGAAACACAGACCGGCGGCGTCAGCGCCTCGCAGCCACGTCGCGGGGCTCAGGGGCCACGCAGGGCCGGGCTCGGCCGCTCCTGGGACGGGAGAGCCAAGAGGTCTGTGCAAGTGACGTTAGTGGACCAGTAGGGGGCGCTCCTCCATCTGGATAAGAATTTCCCAGCCACTGGCCCAGTTTAGCAGGTGCTGTCTTATATAAGAGACTCTAAACCCAGGTCCTAGCTCTTTAGTCATCAAAGAGCCTCTAGGCCGGTTCAAAACAATATGGTGCTGCTCCCAGTGTTACAAAATGCATTATCAATTCAATCGGCAGGATACTTTATCACACCTCCACCTGATCTAATGTGTGTTGGGGCTGCTAGTGCAAAATGACTGCCATGCATCATCAGGTGCTCTTACAAATAATGTGAATTTGCTTATTTCCTGAAAACTCAACAATTTCCGATACCTTAAAACCACAAGAACATACTTTCGTATGTATTGTACCCATTACAATATGTTCGGTGCTGGCTGATGTGTATTGAAATGAAAAACCCTACATTAAGGGAAGTAGTTATTATAAATATATTCGGACTCCAGCCTGCATGTTTGAAACACTGGTCTGCCCGCCAGGGAGAAAGTTGTATCATCCCAGTGCCAGTTCAGAAGAATGGCAGCTTTCAGAAGCTTTGAAAACCACCCTGTCAGTCACATACTGTAATCAATACAGGTAAAAATGAGGGGGAAATTATGAAACTATTAATTAAATTAACCCTCAGTTAAAATGTGTAGTTTGCCGTCAACACTTTTTAAAAAATGTTTTCAATTATAAGCCTTCTGTTTCCACTTCTTACTTCAGATATTTGAACACGAATTTTCTTCACATGAAAGCATTTCTAAAAGGGCAATTCATAGTTTTTTTTTTGGGGGGAGGGGGCTTAGTGAAATACAAGGATTATTAGTAAGAGCTGAGCCTTGACTTCAGGGGTTTACTCCATCAAGAGCTGAGCAAAGTCTTTAATCTGATAGCCCCAGTGCTTATCTTTGCATTTCTACAGCTCTGCTCTGGAACGCCTAAAACCTTCATGGTTGACAGTGTTTAGTAATGAGGGGGGGGGAAACATGAACTAGATATTAGCAAGTACACCCGTGGATCATATTTAATGGGGGAGGGGTCTTGTTACAAATAATGTGAATTCTTGCAAGCTTGCAGCTCCTCAATGGCAGAAACCTTAAAACCACAAGCACATACTGTACTTTTAGATGGCCTCAAAGCAAATTGCATTGCCATTGACCCATTACAATAGCTCCTTTTTACATTTCGAGGAAACACCCCAACAACATTATTGCAATAACAATAAATCAATATCTACTGAGAGAACAATATCAGTGCGGTGGAGAGCACGCAGTGTGATAGTGTTAATTGATTTTTTGAGCTCTGCAGTGAACTGACATCCCATAAAAGATACGCTTTCTGATGAGAGATTGATGGATTGCTATGTAACAGTAGGAAGCTACATAGCACCTGCAAGTTGTTTTGGATAGAAAGCGTTCATCAATTAAATTAATTGAACAGTAATTATGTAAACGCCCAGCTTTCAAATCTGGTAGAAACGTCTTTTTCTCATTTAAGACTGAATATCATGTCTGTGTCCCCCCCAATTTCTCTCTGCCTGACAATTTGTACAAAGACTGAGGCAATTGAATAATTAATGAATCTGTAATTGAAGGAACAACTGTTTGATTTATTTCATTAGATTTCATTTTGTCAACACCTGGGATCCAACGGGCTCAGCGTTCCTAAAACTCTGATTCAGCATTGCTTTACTGAGGCAGCGGACAAGGCTATTGATATAAAAGATGATGCCAAATGCTGAAATTAAAAAAAATGGAGGCCTGTACAAACTTTCTATGAATGCATTTTTAAATTGTAGGGATGTTTGAAGTGATTCCTTAGTGGTTTTGAATGTGCATTTTATTGTAGAAAGATCAATAAGTATGAACTAACTCCTACATTTATTGTGTGAATGACTGTATAATTGGTTACAAGGGACCTAAAATTTGAATTTTGATTAGTGAATTCACTAAGAATTTTCCTTATCATGGATGCAACGATGGTTCATGGCTTGTGGAACAATTGACAGTTAAAGATTCTTTAAAACAGCCGAGCTGGGAATTAGCAATTCTGAATTGTCCCTTCCGAACGTTTTTTTGTTTAAGGGGGGAGAATTAGAACTAGAGATGGATGAATGCTTTTCCAAGTCTTTTTTTGTCTTCTTTAATGGGGCAGCCCAAATAAAATCTGAAAAGACCTGATTCTAAACTTTAAATTCTGAACACATATGAAATAGACCCAATTACTTTCATTTCGAGACAGCCTAAATTGGTCACCATTATGTTACAATTTTGTGTGTGCTTAGACATCTATAAAATGACCTGCCTTCAGGGAGAACTTGTTACAGTCCTGCTTATTTTCAGAGAACAAAGCTTTTACCCTCAAATTCTGCTGAATAATGTTCTGTAACACATGGCTCACCCAGAAGAAACTGAAGAGTAAAAATGACAGGTAGCCTGATTTAAAAAGAAATCTTAAGGGAAGAAAAACAAGAAACAGGCCAGGATCACAGAACAGCGATCCATTTTGTTTGTACTTATTTCTTTTAAAAAATGAGGCCAAACAAGAAAAGTTCAGCCTTCTGGGACTGCTGTATTGACGCAAAGTCTGTTGTACAGGACTCTCATTGATAAGCACTTAAAACAGTGTCTGAAATGTTATCCAAGTCATGTTAGTAAAACAGACATTCATAAGCAGGATATAATACCTTTATTTAAAAAAATGACTATAAAAATGCAATACGAATGATACAGAAGCACATGGCTCACTGGAATAGTTGATTTATATTTTAGGTGACCCAACAAATCTTCTGCAAACATCATTACCTAAGCACTTTCCAGGTCTAAAAATAATCCTGATGGTTTTGTTTTTCAAAAGGCGATACTTTGGAAACTTTCATGAATATTTTATAAGCCATTTTTGCTGGTAACGACCTGGAGAATGAGGGCATTTCTTTCCAGTCTTCAGTGTCACCCAATTGATTTCTGATTGAAATTATCCTTGTAGCTGCTTCTGCACTGAGGTTGTCTGTCAAGATGTGGCAAAGGCGCTGGGGCTCTGGGCTCACAACCGCAAGGTTCAAATTAGGTTGTTTTACGTTTGAGGTGCTTTACTCAACTTGCTCCTGTAAAATATCCCGCTGCATAAATACAGTAAGCACAAATGTTCATTGCTTTATATGGACCTGTCAGCCAACTAAATCAATACTTTTGCATTTTATGTTTCCTCTGGGTGCTCCGGTTTTCTCTCGCAGACCAAAAACATACTGGTGGGTTTATTGGCTACTGGAAGAAAACAGCCCTGGTGTGAGTGTGCGTGTTTGTGTGTCTTTGTGTCTGCCTGCGATGGACTGGTGTCCCATCCAGGATGTCCTCTACCTTGGGCCCACAACCTGCTGGAATAGTGCTGGCACCCCATGACTCTGGAAGAAGTGGTTAAGAAATGGATGGGTGGACGTTTGCAATACAGATTAAAGGATGAGCAGCCATGACACAGTTGCAGAAGTGGAGTAAAGGGCCTGTTTACTATGGGCTGAGCAGTGTTAGATCAATAAAGGTCAGCTTACCTCACTGTTCAAGAAGCAGTAAAACACCGAGACAAAGAAGCCCTGATAATTAGAGAGGAGAGGAAAAAAAAGGCATCGTTTAGAAATACACATTACAGAAGGCAGTCGAAAACATATGGACTTTGATCTCCATGTTATCATATTTGTTCACTCTCCATGCTAGCATTGCCATTTTTTACTTTACGCCTCAAGTTTCTGAATGCTTCATTAACAGAGCACAAGGCATCGGATTCTGTGCAATTCTGTTTCTGATAGCAACACTCCATCAATATCCCTCGTTGTTTTACTTCAGGAGGTCACAAATGCATTTCTTTCCCCATCATAGAAGACCGATCAGGAAAACCGTGACAAATTGATTTGGGTTTTAAAAAATGTATGTTCCTAAACTTCCCATAAATGGAATATAATGAAACAGACGACCATCTGTCAGTATGTTCTTGCCCACTCTATTGTAGTCCTTGATTGTGTGTTTCTAATAGCTTGTCATTTAATAAATAGGGTGAATGTTTTCAATGGGAAATCTACCACAAAATGAAACCTCAGCCTTTAAGTATCCCTGTTGTAATATGATCTATCTGGAAGTCATGCATGAATAAAACAAGCTATTTTATTAATTTTCAAATTAAATGGTTTTCATCCTAAATTTAACATGGTCTCATAACTCTTTATTCAGTCCAACCCTGACAGAAGAGAAAGTCAGAGATCTTTAGGAATTTAATTTAATATATTTAACGTATTAGGGAAACATGTTTGATTCATTTAATTTTCACCAGGTGCAGTTTTTTGGGGGATATGAATCTCTTAAAACTATACTGTTTCTGGATATCTAAACCTGCAACCCTTATGAATGCAGGCTTTAGATTATGTTTGTCACTGAAATACAACAAGCATGGAAGTGTTGTGTAACGTACCTGAAATGACTCCAAAAATGAGTTGAAATATATAAACACAATCTGCGAAATCTCATCCTCTCCAGGATTGACAAAGAACAACATGTATGTGATCCCAAGAAGAGGCAGCAAGACCAGAGTTGCCTTCACAGCTTTCCTGTTGAAGAATAGAAAGAGCAGGGAACTAATTTGTGTTATAAGCACCTACTGTAGCTGCAAAACTCCGAAGTCGGAGGTTCAGTTAAAAACGCAGCTCCTCTGACATACTGCTACACTGAAGGCCTCCTTGCATCTGTTACTGTACTGGATGTGTTAAAAGAGTCCATCACAAAGCACACCGGCACAAAGCAGAATGTTTTTTTTTTCCAATTTTCCCATTATGATATTTAAAACATGTAAATGCTTGTGTATGCACATTTGTACTCATGTATGCTTACATAACATTTCAGAAATTTAGAAAATATATAAATTAACTCCAGACTTGGCCTATTAGGCTATTAGGCCATGCTAACCCAGACAGCAGAGCCACTTGGTTGTTTTCTTCATTACATTTCTTCTTTTGTTGGGACATCATATCAATCTTTGCTGTGCATTAGGTATTTTTATAAGGCTCTATGCTTTCAGCTGTTCTTGTACCTATTCATTATTTTCAGCTATTTTTGCTGCCATTGCTGCTGTTCATGCTGTGTATTCTGAGCTAGCCTCTCCACCTGTGCTGTATGGTATCAGATGAGATCGTGTCTGCAGTATGGACTCAGGTTCTCTCCTACCTGTACTGGATGGTTTCGGATGTGGTTGAGGCCCGGAGCTTTGTCATGAGAATCCTCACAATGTTGAAGAGGAAAATAAAATTGATCTGCAGAAGAAAAAAAGCAACAAAGCAGATGATTATCCTGCATGCATGCATTTACATACTCAAAAAACGCTTTTTAAAGGAAATATAAGCTCAACAATGTTGATATTTGAAAGGTCATAAACACAACTCAGGCTTATAGCTGACAACATTAGCCTTATCCTTTCAACAGCGCCTTGTGGAATGTTTTTAAATCTAATGTGGCTTTTATTAGAGGCAACAAATATTAATACTAGAATCTTGCAGCATCATAATGATTTAAAAGGGATGTACATTCCACAGAGACATAAAATGCCCATTACCTTTAAAATCTCACTTCGGTGTGTGATCAATGCTATCAATTGTTATTGTATGCTCTGAGCCAATGTTGGGGAAAGTTACTTTTATAAAATAATGCATTTTAGTTACTTGTGTAAGGGATTACTTTTAATTTAATAAAATGTTAGGGATAATTGTTTTTAAATGGTAATGCATTACTTTACATAGTAGCTATAGAGTCTACATAGATCTTTGTAACCACAATTTGTCAGTTTAGCAGTAACATCCCTTACACGTAACTGTAAAAGTGATGTTCTCCATTACCTCCTCTAGAATGATGGTTTAACAAATAATTAAGGATAAGCCTATCTTTTGGCCATTGGAATGGATTACTCATCAGTGTTTGAACAATGCATTAAAAACCGTCAATGCATTAGCCTTCAGTCTGTGGAAAACATTCACATGGAAAGACCGAATTCTTTGCTAGTAAAATTTGCTTGGTGAAACATTTTGAATGGTACGGGAGCTTATTAGCGCCATGGAGAAAAAAAACAACAACTTATCTCGTTTATACGAGATAGTATTGCGTTTATATACAAGAAAAGTATCTTGTTTATACGAGAAAATGATTGCATTTAAACGCAATTGTTAATTTGTGTACAATGTTGTCTACTATATTAATACTGTATATTGGATTGTACTGTATATGCAGTAATATCGTCCCATGCAAAATAGCATTGACTTTAATAACAGTAGGCAACATTGTTCACAAATTAACTGTTGGGTTTAAACGCAATAATTTTCTCATGGAAACAAGATAGTATTGTGTTTAAGTGAAAAAAAGTATCGCATATAAAGGAGATAGTATTACGTTTATACAAGAAAATTATCTCTTCTATACGTGATTTTTTCCCTGTGGCGCTAATAAGCTTCCGTAAAATGGAATGGATGCCAAAAAGAAAAAAGAAACACAGAAACATAGGAAAGGTGCTTAGTCTGACCAGCAGAACAAGAATCATGGGTCCCTGATAGATATAATCCGTGTAAACTCCAGCTCTCTTTCCAAACCAGCACCTGAAAGAATGGCAAAGACCACAAGGATATTAGAGCATTCACCAGCAGGAGCAATCAACAGCAGACAAACACTTCTCAGAAAGGAACAGAAAATCAAACTTACTTTTCATTATCATAATACAGCTTCCCAATGGCCCAGGCAACAATGATTGGAAAAGGGATGCCTGTAAGCACAAAAACCAAATCAATTCCCCTCCCTTTTTTTAATAGCATCATCTATTGTAATTACATTGGTGATGATCCTAATTAATTCTATCGTTTGCTGAAGCGAGCCTGGCTCTGAATTAATCTTTTTCGAACCGTCAAAGAAGGAGTGTTTGCAATCTGAAAGCCTGACTCCATCCATCAAGATTTCTCGGTTCTCCACATCGCTGGCAAAAATCTGTCTGAGTGCAGAAAGGCAGCTGTATCTCGAAAGAGGTTCCTCCCAATGGCAAGTGCATTTACTAAAGCTTCATTTGCAATTTGTTTACAAAGACCTTATTGTTTAACAAACACCCCAAAGAGAATGAGCTACATCCTCAAACTATAACTTTGTGACCTAATATATCCACCACTCCATTTTTTAAGCACTCAATACAGGGTCACGAGGGAGTTGGAGCAACAGGCAGGATACCCTCTGGATGGGATACCAGTTTATCACAGGGCAGACACAGGCAAAAACATGCACAAGCTCACACTGGGCCAATTAACCTATGTCTTTGGATTGTGGGAGAACATACATCTCCATACAGTTAGCACCGCAGGAGCTGAACCCAGGGCCCAGAGCTGTGAATCAGAAATGTGAATCCCACCATGCTGCCCAAGCTAATATATACTGTATTTAATCAAATTAATTCACTATTGCTCCGTGTTGGCTATCAGTCTGTGCAGAGATATTGGAAGCAATTTTGCAGTGCATGCTTCTTCCTCAGATTTTGCGAAACGTCCATTTTACCCGCGCTGATATCAGAAACACCGCCTTCTTCTGTAATCCGGGACATTAGAGAAGGTTGTCTGAAAATCGAGTGTGTGACTTCTTCAGAAAAAGGTGGTCTTACTCACACCATCCAATACAGATAAACATCCATTTGCGCAGTTTGTCAGTGGAATAGGTGAGGACGATAGCCGTGTGCAGATAACAGCCCTCTCCGAACATCCAGAAGAAGTTTGTCACGTGGAAATAATTGTACGCAGCCGTGACCAGTCGACACCAAATCTGGAATAAATACAAGGAAAAGGCGATGTGTGAGAAGGTTCCTCTTTCTTTTCACACCCCTTTGCTCAAAATCTCAAACTGTAAAAAGACATCTGCTACGGTACAGAAATAACCATGCACACACCCTCAGATAACACAAGAAGATCTATAAAGCCATGCTATTTGGAAGAAAGGCATGTTTCTCTTTGTTATAGCAACAAGGTGGTTTCAAATGAGCACATCCATAGGAAGGCAGTTACAGTTACTACACTGGGCACTTTTACAAGATGTATGTGCAGACAAAATAATTTATGCATTAATACCACCCTGTGATATCTCATGCAGATTTCTCTCTTCTTTTTTCTTTGTTGTGTTCTGTACCGGGAGCTGTGTGTGTGGTTTTTTTAAGTACAATTGCGTTTTGAAAAACAGATCATCCACTTCTGGTCAGAACTGTCTGTGACGATGTCTGTAGCTTTGCATTGAGTCTAATTAAATCTTTTCCCCCTGTGTGCAGCAGAGTTCTTAACCCATGGCCCGAAATACCCCTTGTCTTCGAGATACAGTATTATGCTGCTTTTTGCCATGTGCCGTAATTTACTAAAAGCCTTCTCTGGTCAGAGAAAGTCTGCAACTAACTATTCTGGCTCTGTGAATCCTGCTCACGTTTGCCCTGCTCCGTGATACAGTATGTACCCTGAACGCTGTTGTTCTGACAGGGTGACAGTTCATTAACATGTTAATGGCCTCCGCTGTTTTAATTAATCGAAAGAGCAGGACACGAAGGGTTGCCCGAACTGATGAGGTGGGTCAGGAACTCGCAAGGGATGTACAAGAGACATGTTCAAAAGCTATTTTAGCTGCAAAACCCTGCGTTCTGTGATTAATCCCAAAAGTCTGAATCCCTCAAGGACTGTTCATCTAGCTACAATAAGAAATCTGTGATCACCGAAGGAGGTGTAAATCTTACGGTATGAGTGTTTTACCATAACAAGCCTTACATTTGTTTTTTACATGAAGGCTACCATATAAAAAATACATAAGGTTTGTTTTATTACTACATTTATGTTTTCTTTTATCATTATAGAGTTCCTCGACTTCAGAAAAATACATGTTTCAGTGATGGGTTTTGTTTGTCATGGGCTTGTTGTTAGACATCAAAGGTAGTCTACAGCACTGGAGTTTGTAAGACACTTAATAACTCATTATTTAAACAAAATAAAAACAGTCCATTAATATTTGCTCACATGTTACATCTGTATTTGTCAATTTATTACTGAATTCATGAGAATTGCAGTGTACTGTAGCTATGGGAATCATATTAATGGATTTTAATTACTGAACTGTAGAAATTGGTAGTGTTTATGGCATATTATATTGCATTAGATTATCTGGATTTGCAGGTGTTTCTTAAACCAAATTACACACTATGCTTTTGAAAACAGTAACTGATATTTAAATATATTTAAATGCATGCTGCAGAGGTCTACTGCAAATTAACATTTGTGTGCAAGTCATGTAGATAATGCAGTCGCTTGTCCTCCTAAACATAAACGTGAATAATTTCCAACAGATGGAGCAATTCTCACTGCTTATTTCCAAGAATGAAAAGGACGGTTTTTAACAAATTATATTTAAGAGACCAAGAGAGGTCTTGACCATTTTCAAGAATTTGAAACTTTTCCATAATTTTCAGAAAAAATGTGACAGCTTGGTGTTAGACCACTTAACAACACATTTTTAATCTCTCTCTCTATTCTGTCTGTGTTTTAAACTCTAGAGACAGATGACTGTAGGTTCATTAACTAATGTTTCTGCTTTAAAAAATACTCTCCAAATCCATTTCATCTAAAGGGCTTTGGAAGGGACTCACAATTTCCTTTACAGTAATTTTGGTTCTTTTCCTGAATGAAGAGCCTTAATACAACTGATAGGGGCTACAGCAGAGCCACAGACATTCACAAACACGTATAAATAATCTGGCTGAACAAGATACGTGCCTAAATGTTTTAAAAACAATGAATGAAAAGACAAACAGAACTATAAAACCATGCAGTGAAAGCAGATGTACCATGCTGAGCTCAGTCTTGTGCACAAAAGTACAAAGTTGGCTTTTGGAGACTAAAACAGTAAATGCTGAAAATTAGGCTGAGGGTGGAATCGATTTTAAACTCAGAACTCAAATGCAGTTTCCTCTTCTGCTTAAATATTAGAGCACCCTTGTCAACTACTGCTCCTAGGACTTGCTGTTAAAACAGCACAGGAAATGTACAGTAAATGGTGTCCTTTGTAAGATACTAAGGAGTTAAAAGCAGCAGTGAAGGATGAGTATGAATATCAGTTAACTTGAAAGGGTATTATTTCTAAGATACGTGAATATACCTGTGACTTGGTCACTCTGATAAGGGCTGATAAGGGAAAAACAGCTATCATCAGATGCTAATTTTGATTTAATTGAGCAAAAAGGTGGAGTGAGAAATTATAAGACAGTTTCTTATCCTATGACACTAAGATTGGATAAAGAGCTCATTAATATACAGTGAATACTTACAATACATTGCATCGAGTTTCTCAGTCACAACAACCCATACTCACCACATTGCTCTCATGCACTGCTGGATTCATGGTGAGTTGCACTACAAACCAGGTGGCGTTGCGCAGAATAAAAGCACTGATTAAGTTCCAATGAATGATGTTTCTCAGGCATCTGATGCTCCTATTTGGGAACAGAAGGAATCAATAAGGAAAAGAAAATAGTTTTTTTTAATACTGATCTTTGCACTTCATGCAAGATGTAACTTTTTAAGGACCAGAAATTCTCACCGAGTCTGTTCCTCTGAGCACAGCACAAAGCATTCTAATAAAAGTTCAATCTCATTCATCATGCTTGTGCTGTATCTGCAGAAAGCGTGATCTTTCATATCTTTCTCTTCTGAGAAAATTGAATCACAAGTTACATCAATACAGCACGCCAAAAATTCAGAAAAGTTTTGTTCTCCCTGAAACAGCTTGTCCTGTACGTTTCTGCACTGATATTGAATTCTTGTACTGTCTATAACTACTGAGGTGATTCAGCCAATTGGCAAAAAAACAAATTCTTTATATGCCTCATCTGAGCGGAACAGAGCAATGAACTGGAAGTATTAAAAGCCTGCTTTACATCTCCTCTTTGTAAAACCCATGCTGTTTACTGTAAAATTTGGTTGTCAATATTTAATTTTCTTTACTTTTTAAAATTCTCTTTGCTTCTAAAACATTCCAAAACATCTCCTTAATATTCGTCCTTTTTAAACAAAGTTCTTAAATTGTATGTAATCCATTTATAAGTGTTTTAATCCATTAATATTAATATTGAACTGCTGCCAATTCACAGCTCTATTGCCTCTTGCTTTAAAATGAAAAATATCATTGCTGCTCATATGCTTGGCTTGAGGCTGATTGCTGACTCTGGACTAGATTATTACTACAATTATTTATTTGACACGGTGTGGTTCAAGTTTACAGTTATTTGTAAAAACTTTGAAAAGCCCCCTTGGTGGCAGGACTAGACCTGTTCTTGAAAAACGCGTTTTAAATGTTTAAAATGCACTATTCTTAAAGGCAATCCCATGACCACGGATAATAATACGTCTCTCTTTGAATGATCAGTCAAAGTGCTGGAACTCATTGAGGGTTTGGAAAAACAGTCCTGAATATTGCCATTAGATGCTGTATCATGATGGCAGTAAGCTTGCATATCTTGCTGTTGCACAGGAATTCTATTTAGCATTCAGAAGCCTGCAGTCCTCTCTATGACTGTGCATGTTTTTGTGTGCATATTGTATTTATAGAGCTTTGAGTGGGGAGCTGTGTCAGAGTATAACGTACACTAAAAGCTGCAAAGGAACAAGCAGTGGTTCGTTCCATGCTGAGAAAGTGAAAGAAAAACACCGCATTTCAACTGTGGAGTCTTTAACACAGTAAAAAGAGCAGAGCCCTTCCTATGACCCAGAGAGGCTCCACTACGGAAACCTGTTGTTTTTCTCAGCTCTTTCCTTCAGATTTTCAGTGCGGAAGTAATCTCTTCTTGCTTTTTTCCCTTTCTCTTCATGTTTTATACAAAAAGTTATTTGTCATCATTTTGTCTTGGACTTAAAGCTAGAAGTCCATGCCTATGATTCTGATAAGACCTAAGTATTTCTCCAATTTATGTTTTTTCTGCAATGGCATATAAGAACGCTTGCAGAAATAGTAGAATGGCTATTGAAAACACAATAAACCATAGCATAAGAGTTTTTTTCCATTTTAAGATTATATATTATTCTATTACTTTGCTAGCAAGAGAAGGCTTTTATCCCCTGAGGCATATACAGTGAGTGTCTAAAACATATCCTAGGTACTTACAGTAGGTAAAATCTTGTTTAACACCAAGAAAAGGTCTCTATAAATGAAAACATTTGGAAATTCCCAACACTCTTTGAAGTGGTTTCTTTTGTGAATTTGTGAAAAAAATATGTGCATTTATTTATTAAACTGATCGGTCTCCCACTTACAGATGGCTCTATACTGTACATTGGCCAAAGTCACATTCCTGTTGCATTGTTGTAGACGTGACTTGGCCAGAAACAGAGCAAACAGCCATTTATTTTTTTCCTTTTGAACACAGGAATGAACACAGATGAGGAAATGGAACATGACAACCATTTTGATTCAAAAGAAAAGCAAAAGGTATGCAGAACAGCTGAATTCCTAACTCCCCAGAATCACAAATTCACATCTCAAAACGGGGACCTTATTTTCAGACAGGGAGGTGGCAGTACTATTGCAGTGTTTGACTGGAGTGTTCTGCCTCCAAATTCTTTTATTCACTTTTTAATTGCATTGCAAGCAGACCTCTTCACCATAAGAGATTGAAAGCACATGCTCTGGTGACACGTTTCTGTTTACCCAGGTGTAATGCTAATTGTTCCAGAATTGACAACATGATCAGGCATGACTTCTCTTCTGAGCGGGAGAGAGCCAAGTCTCTCCGGGGTATCTGGCAGCACGCAGAGGTTAGATCGTCATGTTCACCAGAGGTGTTTTTGCCCCCTGTGGTTCTTTAGTTACGGTTAACATCAGCACTCAGATCGCTGGCTGTGGTGCACAATCACACAGCGGTGAGCTGTATTCTTTACACTAGGGAGCCTTAGATGCCATTATTTGTAGCCAAATACAAGCAGTAGGAGGCCAAAAAAAATGACAGATGCTCCTATAGGGACACTGTAAAAACATTGGAGCAACCCCACACCTCCTGGCCTGACTCATAGAGATTAAAAAAAAAACAACCCCAAGTCAAGCCCTTCCTCAGTTTTTAGGCCCTGATTACCATCATCCCCTGCTTTCAATTTTCAACTGTCCTGTTGACCTTTTAACTGCAGTGAAATTGTACCTTATCCGAAATTTGTTTGAGGAAAAAAACTTTACAGCTATGATATATATTGCTCTGAATTGGCATCTATTGTGCCAAGCGAATTTCCTGTGTCCTATTCTGCGGTACACAGAGTTAATCTTTGTTTTGTACACGTTATTCTGCCAAGGACAAGCCAGAGTGCAACCCAGACGGAAACATTTACCTCATCTGTGCCTGTGTCTTCATGAATAGCAGCCCACTTATAGTCAGGGCTTGAGCTCGGAGGGGAACAGGGGTACAGGTGCCTATCCGATGCAGTCCCCTCTGTAAATTCTTGGGTACCCCTTGTTAAAAGTTAACCATTCTATTTTTGAACCTTTGCTGTAGCACAATCCTTGGGAGTGATGGTGTGCTTGAAAATTCTCTTCAGAGAAACAGTTTCTGTACAGTATGTCACAGGGGAGGCAATCTCCCACTCAGGCCTGCAAATTACTTCACAGCATAAAGACCCCCAGCCTGGCTCAGTTCCCCTTGACATTTTTTAACATCTGGGGTATGGCCCCCACTGATGTTTGAGAGACACGTGGATTGAATTGGTTTTGCCTTCTTGTAACAGAACTCTAACATGATCTAAGCCTTTTTCCAAACAATGGTTTTGTCCAAAGCTTGAGCTCCATGTTTTTCTTTTTCCTTTTAATCAAAAGCAGAATGTGAGGCTATAAGCTCACTCATTCAATATCCTGTCCTGTCAGCTGATTTTTTGGGCTTGAGCCTTTGAATGATTTCTTGCGAGAAGCAGTCCATTTTTACATCCTGTAGCTGGAAGATTCGGTGCTCATCTCTTGTGTCGCGTTTCCTCCAGAATCACTGCTGAGGCTCAGTCCCAGCTGCTGTTTCAATTTCTCCTCCTAGCTCGCCTGTTTCATTAGTGGAACCTTCTTTGACTGACTGACATTTCCCCTCACAAATAATGCTCACATAGGCATGCGGGAGTCAACATTTGTTCAATGAGGATAGCTGAGTTAGTGAGCAGAACAGACTTTCTCAACTCCGGCCCACTTAACTGTGAGTCTGAAAATCACACAGGCATGAGCTGCTTTTCAGTTGCCTTGCATGAAACCTTAGTATTGAAGGCGGCTGGCTGTTGCTCAGACTGTAAGGTAAATGCTCTGAATGTCAAAAAGCAAACTTATCATGAAGTTTAAATCTTCTTTCCCCAAATGACAGGGATTAAGTGGAGTCTCACAGTGGTCAAGACTTAACCCTTCAGTTTTGTCATTTCTTATTTTTCTGTTTTTTTCATCCAAAGGTAAATCACACGTCCAAGCTGAAAAAGGAGAACTTGACAACTTTGAAATCACAGACAGAAGCTTAATTAACTTCAAAGGGAGCTCTGGACTTTGCGTTAAGTGCATCTGTGGTTTCCTGCATCACATACAAGACTGCGGAGTCAGAAAATATACAGTCTATAGCTGTTATAGTCCAGGGTGCATACAGTGCACATAACTTTTAACAGCTCAGCATTCACCACTTACTAAGGGACATGTTTTTTGAACATCATCTAATTAAAAACCTTGGATTCATTACAGGAAAGACATTCTGTTTTTTTTCATGTTCCATGCCTAGTGCTCTAGTATTTGTGTTCAAAAAGGGCAGAGCAGGAGAATTTTTTTTAATTAACCAAGGCCAGGCTATTGCATCAGTAGAGTCCCTCACTCTCCTGGTCAGGTTCCAAGTTTCAGAAGGACCTTTGCTGAGATAAGTCAATAAAACAATGTCAGGAAGAAAAGGAAGGACCAGAAGATCCCACAGGTGAAATTGGACTCTGGGGCTCTTGTTTAATAAAATTATCTACCTGGTGCTCTTACAAAGGCCTAGGAGATGAGCAAGGGGTTTAAGGGTATGAGAAAATGAAAGAGAGAGCCTAACTTCTTTATCACCCACTTCTTTATTCCATATTTTACTGATTCAGGAACCCCTTCTTAAACCATTGCCTTCGGGGTCTTTAAGAGTCAATTTCTGCATGACAGGTGCCTTGCATTTTGGATACCTTAATACTTGGGCCATCTGGATTTGGAACAAAACCTCACCACATTCCCACCTTTCCCTTTGAGTGTCCTGAAGGCCTGGGATTTGTGAATTGTGGCTACAAAGATCAAAGAAGAAATTAAATTCAGGCATATTATGAAGACGCCAGTTATCACACCTTATCATTAAATGACTATTTTTGGTATGATTGTGAATTGTCTGAATTATAAACGTGCTGCAGTCTAATATTGATCCTGCAAAAGCTAGAGGACACAACAAATTATGATTTTGGGGGTGAACGTTTTTTTGTGCTAAAA